TATAATTATTTAATTAATAAATTATTTGATATTAAGTTATAGTAAAAAATATCTAATTGTAGTTTTTTTGTTATTTGATTAAAATATTTTTTTTTATGATGAAGTGTCATTTTAGAAATTGGTTAGAAATCCTTGTAGCGGAGGGTAATTTATAAATAATTTTTGTAACTGACTTGACACTTTAGAAATTGTATTATAGTGAATTAACTACTAGAAAACAAAGTATCAACGGCGAAAATCAGCGAGGGAAAGACCAAAAATAGATTCCCTTGCTATCTCGATTAGTGAGGAAATGAGTTTTTGGCCAGATCCCTCACTGATTTTTTTTATTTAATAACTACAAATTTAATTGATTATTTATTATTTATTAGAATATTCAAAAATTAATTAATAAAATTGAATAAAGCCCATTAGGCCCAATAAAACCGAATAAAGTCCAAGAAAATGGATTAAGGCTCAATAAAATCGATTAAAGCCCATTAAGGCCCATTAAACCGAACAAAGCCTAATAAAACCGGATAAAGTCAAATAAAATGGATTAAGACACAATAAAACTAAATAAAGTTCATTAAAGCCCGATAAACTCAATAAAGCCTGTAAATGAATAAAGGCCCAATAAAACCGAACAAAACTCATTTGATGAGTTAAGGCCCAATAAAACTGAATAAAACCCCACATACCCTCGCTGATCCGCTGCTGAAAGTAACCCACGTAAATCCGTCGCTGTAAGTAACCCTCGCAAATTCGTCGTTGATTTCCGTTGCTTATAGCATTTACCTACGAGCTTTTGTCCAACGGACTAACAACAACGGATCAGCGACGAAAGACCCTTTTAACAACGGATTTACGAGAGAATTTTTCCACACTGATACTCTTCATTTTTGTAGCGATTCTTTTAAACATTTTCTCAATTCAACTACTCATCCTCTCCATTTTTTATTTATTTAGATTTGTTTTAAAATAAGTATTAACTTCAAAAAGATATTTATAAATACTATATATCTAAAAACGGTTTTATCTTTTTAATAAATGATATCCACATTGTCACCTCTAGATATTTTCAATAACTATCACTAATTTCTTATCAACCGAGTCCATTAAATAGAAAACCGAAAATTTATTGACATAATGAACATTCTGAAGTAGGGGAACATTAACGCAAAATGCAAATACATCTGGTTCTAACTCTGCACACCTACTAATTCATCTCGAATTTATGTTTTAGTTTTTGAATGTCTCATTCAACATCATGAGTTTACAACGCTTTCTCATTTCATTGCTCACCATTTGAATCTTAAATAGGGGTCTTTAGCATTTTGATTAGGGTCGGGATCGTGAAAGAGCAAATACGTACCGTCTTAAGAGAGTCACGATCATTAATGTTGTAAAACATTTTTTAGATGATAATTGATCAAAACTTATATCGGGTTTTCAATGTATCTGGTTTGAACTTAAAAGGAGTTTGTTTAGCAACACCGATTTAAACTTTTATATTTAGTTTTTGATTAGAAATTTTATTTTCAACATAGAAATTTCAAGAATATTGTACTTAAAAACATAAACATTTATTATCGTAGAGTAAACTTCTAACTCTCGTCCTTGAGATTTAGTGAAAAATTTGATGATGGGACTTGAACTGTGACATGTCTAAAAACTAATCTTGTAATTTTTATTTTCGGTACATGATCATTTACTCCGTTTGTATTCTCTTTTAGAGTGAGGGGTATTTTAGTCTTTTCATCAAAATCTTTCCTTTTCTTTATAATGAAGTGCACTCAGGTCAACTCCCTTCTAAAACGCAATTCATAGGTGCACATGAGATTAAAAATGATCAATGATTCAGATCTTTTCTCACACGATCCTTCACCTATATATATATATATATATATATATATATATATATATATTACTTAAACAATGGAAATCAATAGATCTTAAATTCAAAGTTATTATTTGGGACGAAGATTAACTTGATTATGATTAAGACCTTGCTCCTTAACTCTATAAGGGACCCCACAGGTAGTTTGATTATTTAGTCTCAATTTCTTAGTTTGGCAGAACTAGTAAAATGCATTTTTATTCCACTCAATCATGTGATAGTCTACTGTCGAGGCCCATAATTAACAAGTCCCGTTGATTAAATCTTTACTAATCGAATTCGATACAAGATAATTAATCGAATTGATTTCCTTAATTAGGAGACTATTTTCTATCGCATTTTTACATTAATCGACCTACAGATAGAAGACGAGAGCAATTATATATATACCTGAAATTTTGTCTGATCTGCTCATGTTTTACAATGCCTCGTTATCTTGTTGATATATGGACTCATCCTCTACCGGCAATGAAGGTGGAGTTCCTGGCGGAATGGAGGTGACACCGTTCTCACCTGCACACACACATAGAGCCTCTGCATCACAAACAACTGCGTCAAGGTCGATGCAACCACTCAATTCGTTGATGAATTTCAAGAGGGTGTCAAAGCTCATCTGCTCCCTCATAATCTTGGCCCGATGTCGTTTCAAGATTGCAATGCATATGTAAAGATGAAGGTGCTCACTGACATGATGAGTCCATAACACCTCCCATAACCTCAATATTTTATCGAATTCAAACTCCCTGAAATTAAAACACCGATAACAATAATACATTCAGACAGAGGAGGAAAATGAGACCATTTTCTGAACTGAAATGCCAAAAAAATCACCCTCAAGTAATGATAATAGGGCACTAGGAAGAAAAGATCTCACTTGCCTTTTGAATTGTATAAGAATCCAACGGAAACAGAAAAAGTAATTCAAGCAATCTTTCTGCTTGAAATAATTGTGCAATGGGCTGTCGAGCAACTCCACCAGCTGTGATATGAAAGAATCAAATCATGTTACTCATCACACAGATAATAATCCGTATGCCCTAAAATCCTGCTTCCAAGTTTCCCGCATGCTAAAAGCAAGCGATATTAGATAACCAACCTGCAAATTCCAATCAAGTGTGGTTTCACCCATTTGTAAAGCCCATTTTACGGGTCTTGTTCCCATGATGTGTGGATAAAGGGATACACCGTGCATGTGTGAAAAAGAACACAGGGAGAGAGAGGGAGAGAGAACCTTTGACAGTGCAAACAGTTGGGAGTGCATGCCATTCTGGTCACGGTTGAAATTTGGTCCAAGCCGTTCCATTAGAGAAACAAAACACCAAAATGATTCTGATTCGTCTTCCATGACAAACACTATTGGGGATAGGAGATCACTCATGCCCTAAACATGATGTATTTCATCTATTGATAATAGGTAAAAACATAATAATATTTTTGAAACATGTAAACTCCCCTTCAACAATGACACTTACGAATCTAATGGATCCAGATCAACTTCATCAATTTATTTGTGATTATGTTAAGAAGAAAATAGGCAACTTAAACATGAAATATTTCCAAAAAGAGGGATGTCACAATTTTCATGATGGTACATCTTCTTCACCCATCAAGTAGTCACTCACTCTCTTTATGAAATAACTGATGATGATCATATGTTACCTGACAATAGCCAAGATCAAAGTTGTAGAATGAGTAGGTCAACAATATGTCGCGCAGAAGATACACATTGGGGTTTTCATCTCCTTCATAGAACAGCAGCGATCTATCGGTCCTTACCTTGAAAACAGATGAAATGGGCGCAAGCAATTTTAAATATAAAAGGTCCTTGTTACATATAATTTAAATGTGAGGGTGATTGATCTGTACTTATACCGCATCCCTTTCGATTAGACCCTTCCTTTCTCTGAATTTCGTAAATCTTTTTGCCTGCTCTGGAGAAATGCTCTGCAGGAGGAAATTCAGTCAGGTACCACATGCTAAATTTCTTCAGAAAGGAACAAGATGGGAAGGATAGGCATAACTTTTTAAGATAAAAGAAAAGAACCCCTTGCATGGAATGATTCTGAAAAAGCCATGAGTTTGAAGTTTTAAGAATTTACAAGTTTTTAACTTATTTCTTAATTATGTTGGTCCTTCAAAATTTGCATTCAATGAACCATCTTAATTTCAAGTTAACATACCAGACTCAAAAATAAGGGTGCCATCTTGAATACAGAGAGTACTTACAGCTCTTATGCATGATAAACACACAAAAAAACAAGCAATGTGGAATGTTGCATCACTTGGCGGACATCATTTCACCTGTCTATTCTATTTTGTATGATTATACAAGCTTAGATTGGAAATGAGACTACCATTTCTCCTCCAAATACATTCTGAAGAAAGAAATCACAGCCACTTTACAGTTTACATGCTTATCTGATATCTTGGTTTCCTTCTCATTTGTATTTGCAGACATGATAGGATAATATAAATAATGTATTCAATAGAATCATGAATGCATCATTAAGCTTAGTGCCTTCATCTAGACAAACCTGTACGGCTCTAAAAAAGAATTGTGTTTAATATAGTCATGGATGCAATGTACAGCTCTAGTGGCTATTCAGATGAATTGAAAATTGGAATTAAGGTTTTACATATTGTATTGAACAAAAAACTTAAACAAGAAAAGGCAACATAAAATATAAAAGATATTTTGTTGAGAACGCCCTCTGAAAACAGAAGGCACCTAAAATGAAAACCACCTACCCGACTATCTGAGAAAGAACTAGCCAGAACAACAGAATAAAGAAGTCCGGACCAACTTTAAAAGAACAAGGAATCACAGAGAGAACATTTGATTGCCTCATGGAAGTGCAAACGAAAGCCAGATCAAGTCAGGCATGAGAGACAACACAATCAATTTTTTTGGCTATAAAATTGATCACTGACCTGCCACTGATTTTTGATAGTCTCGTACTCAGACTTCTTAACAGTCATAACATGTTGTCTTTCGGCATATGTAGAGTCATGTGCATGATATCCCAATAAGAATGCCCAAATCTGACATCATGACTCGTCAAAAAGTTCAGTTCATCCTCATGAAGCCAAAAGAAGGAACATTTAAACCAATAGTACCATATCATTTCACAAAATTTCCTCTAAAGAAAGTACTATATCATACAAACCTCTTTTCGCAAACTGTGTTCCACTCCGCCATAAAAAATTCTCTTTCTCAAAGCATTTAAATCCTCTACTCGGCCTTCAGAATCCAAAAAGGTTGCCCACTGCACAAAAACGTTTTCGCAGTTAGAGCACTAGATGCATTTCTGCTTATGGCTTAAGCGAGCATGTATGAGACCCCACAGATAAGGGATGAAAACTCAGAAACAGCAACCTATACAAATTGAAATCAGAAGACCATTAAAGTCACTTCATGATGCCTTTAGTCAAAGATTCATGATGCTTTTAGTAAGTTTGGAGGAAGGATCAGTTTTTGAATGTATGCTATTCACTTTCGTGCATAAATAAGTAATAGTAATGGAGGGCTTAGGCTGTTGGATTTTACCTGTCTAGTTTTTGCCTGCAGTATACATCTGTGAATGGGTTTTGGAATACTTTACCTCTTCAGTCTTTTCCCAGAGCTATAGAGGCACATCCTTCCTACAGGCTTTTAGGACTCAGGATTGAGCAATCTTTGAATCTTAATATACTTCTCTAATTTATTCTTTAATGGATTTCTTTGCTCTCAACATGAGTTTTACTCCCCATCTATATAAAATTTGTTTATCCTTCTATGTTCAATCTTGTCTGATTTTGTGTTTTCTACTTTCAATAGCAGTACTAACAAGTATACTATCACATAGTGTGAAACAAATACATCTTTATGCAACATAGAAAAGAAAAGACGATTAAAGAGATAGGTGGCGAGTCAAATGGTAGGGAGAGAGAGAGAGGATACATAATAGATTAGAATTTACTGCAAGGAGAAAAACCCTACATAGTAAATTGACTAGTTGTATGAGATATTGAGATGATTAATCATATCATCTTTGATTCTCTGTTTTCTACTTTCTATAACAGTAATAAACAACATTACCACTACCTGATGCGAAACAAATACATCAAAAAGAGAAGACAATTAAAGAGATAAGTGGTGAGTAAATGGTGGGGAGAGAGGATAAATATCAGATGTAACACCCGTGTTTTTACGGTTAATCGTTTAAGAGTGTAGATTCATTTTAGCAAGCCGGTCAGTGTCCAGCTACACTTGGATGTTTTAGTTGGGCGTCATTTGGACTTTTCGCCGTGGGCACCAAAAATCTCAGGACCGGCCCTAGACTCTACCTTAGACATGTTAACGGACGTGCTAGGAAACTTAAAGATGGTCTGTCATAGGAAATAGAGTTAGAAATAGGATGTTTTATGCATATGATCTCACCCCTATCCTGAGGGTAAACATCAAACCATTTGATTCAGTTGGTAGCTACTCTTTAGAAGGGACTTATGGAGTATAATTTTCCTCGACTTGATATCCAATCCTAGAGCATTCCTTTGTATATGATTCTTGACAAAGGTGAGTTTGGGATATATCTACCTTTTTTTTTTGGATGTTGTCTTGAGTAAACATGAAGATTAGGTATGTCCAAATGATTTGATTGTGGAGAATCTAACTCATAACCAAACTAGGATTAAGGAATGTTATTTGTTGCAATTGACAAGGGTCTGTTTAAGGTTGAAGCTGTAGGAAGGTTCTCAAGACTCTTATTATATCAAGTTCTATCTCTGAAGATTAGGCAGGGGAAAAATGGTTAGGATCCAAGAAAGGTGACATCTTTGGACACAAACATTAGCTGGTGAGAATCATATATATACCCATTATGTGTAGGTGAATATTCTATGAGAACACACTTTATGATGTAGCCAAGACAAAACACCTAACTACTTTTAGAGGTAAGGAAGAATAGAAAACTTAGGACAAGAGTTCTGCAAAACAAAGAGAGGAGATTTGTAGTTCAGGACTCGAGAAGGCATTCAATTTACGAGGAATGAGGTTGTGAGTATAACTTCCCATGTTAAATATAAGAGATCAAGCTACTTCCAACATGTGACAGTTTTTCTTGAAGTTACACCATTTTGTTGTGTGGTAACACCCGAACTCGGATGGATTATTCCATGTTGGAAAAGGTATGGATTGAGAATGGAGTTGGAAGCATTCCCGAGCGTTATGAGTTCTGAGAATCTGGATTTAGGTTTGGACCATTTTGTGGAAATTTTCGGAAGTGGTTGTGGCCTTAGATTTTTCTTTTAATAGATATACCCAACATACTCGTGTGATTATCAATAAATGAGATGAGTACAGAAAACTGCATTTGCTTGATATGGCCCCCGATGTGTGGTTTAAGTGAGAATGGTATGCGTGTGTGCTTTGGAAGATGACATATTTCACAAGAAAGAGTCGTTTTAGTTTAGGAATAACTCAGAAAACAAACATTTGAGGTATTGAAAATTTGGATGTTTTAACCTACGATACCACAACATTATCTCATTATTATTAGTTGTTAGGGCTCTCTCATTGGTAGACATGGCTTGGTTTCTCCTAGAATCTTCATCTACAGAAAGGTAAGAGTCCACCTTGCTCTCTAATAATGCCACTTGTCCTCCCTGAGGTCTTCTGACCTTCTGTATTACACAAATATTGGAGGAAAATTTAGCCTAACATTTGTTATCTTGTGTCAACTTGCTTACAAATAACAAATGGCATGATAGAACATGAAGAACATAGTGAAAAATTAGATTTTGGCCAAGTCAAATGGAGCCTTGTCCCTGCACATAAGAAAAACTCCCATCAATAATTTGAACCTGCAATTGGTCAATGATAGGTGTATACACATGGAACGGGGAAGAAAATCTGCCAAGTGGTATGAGGCTCCTGAATTGAAGATCCATAGAGCATAAGATTTGAGTTCAAAGACTCGTGAGTGTGGAGTTTAGTATGTTTGTAGGCTGGAGAGCAGGTTAATATGTCAAGTTTGAAGTTATTCCATCGTCTTCGAATTTTCAGTTTAGTCTTGATTGGCATCTCACATTGCCGTTGAAGTTTTGAAAAAAAGATGGGTGCGGCTGATATGAACCTCCGTTGAATTAATCAACCATGCCATGACAACTGAATTGTTTGATTCCCAGGTTTAATAATTGTGCTTCTTGGCTTCTCCTGTGATGTAGCCCATCTTCCCTTTTTCGTGACTACCATAAGAACTGATTGAGACGACTAGAGAAAATTCTTTCCATCCAGTTTGTGAATAGTGAAGCCAAATTTGCTGAGATTAGACTGATGTTGCTGTGAGATGAAAGAGACGAATTATCTTTGCCTTCCATGATGGACCAAACCTGGGTTTTGTTTTGGTTGCACAAAGAGTAAAAGGAACAGCAATGAAAGCTGTTTTTTACAGCATAGAAGTCTAGAGAAGTAAACAGCTGTATGGCTTTGATACCATAAAGTTTCTGGCGTTAAGAGAATTTTATGGAAGGCTTCAATTTCATTGACAAGACTAAGGCTATATATACACCTTAACTTACATGAAATTATGAAACAATAATATCTACTTTCCTAATATATGAAATTAGGAAACAATAACATTTACATTTCTAATCTACAAGGATTACAATCTTCATCCTAAGAAATGATTATAAACCATCATTCATAATAGAAAAGATGATCCTAAATATTCCTAGAATATATTTTGATTTGCAACATTACGTAGCCTTGGTTGTTTCATCTCCTCAATTCCCAAAGTGGTGTATTTCTAGCCTACCACAATTAGTATAGTTTAAAAGGAATGTTATTGTTGAGGTATTCCTAAAACAAGCTAACTAATAGGAGAGTTGTAATCCTTTATAAGTGGCTCCAGACCTTGCTGGTGCCTAACTAATCAGTCTACCTAGTCAGAAGTTTTACTTTGAAACCTTTCTAAGCGGAAATCCTTTCATGATGCATTATGACATGATTCAACATGATATGCAAACTAAGCGTTACCTCTTCAGGGCCCAAAGGAGGTTGCCGTGGTTTTCCCCATACTAGTGATAATTTATCAAACTGCCAACAGGTGAAAAAGCAAACAGAACAAAGTTAACCCAAAGGACATTAGCATACATAAGTAAGGCATTCACTGAAAATATAACACTGGTCAAATTACTAGAATCACAACTTTGCAATAAAAAGTGAAGGCATATGATAGAAGTCAGAATTAGAATCTACTGAATTGGTGTCCATGATTTGGTAAACTGCCAAGTGACATTTCCAAAACTGCAACAAAGGTGCACGGAGATGCACCCCATATTGTTTAACATAAGATGATTCTGCTTGCTGGTGGTAGGTAATAGATGTAATGCTAGGAAGCAGGAATGCATTCTTCTTGTTAAGTCCTTATATAGGGTGTTTCTGGAGTTGCAGTTAAATGGGGATGCAGTAGGATGCATATGGGGTGCAAAATTGACAGTAATACTACTGCTGATCAAGGAAATGGGAATACAGGATTGGAGAGGCATTGCAAGTATATGAATTAAGGTTAAAAACTGAAAGTAGAACTTCTTCCTCCTACGCTATGACACAATGGATTCTTTTAGTGCTCTAAAAATCCCCGTATAGGACTGCTTAAGCAGTCACCTAGGCCTTAAGCATCCCTATGGCTTTATTAATTAGGGCCGGCTATTTGGCCGCGTAGGCATCAAGGGGCCCCCTCACTTGATTAGCATACTAACAGCTAAATTAAGTGTTTCAATTAATTAAACAAGGTTAATCAGCTTTTTTGAACTTGCTCAATCAATTTTTCTCAACTTGGAGATGATCTTTTTGGATGGAACAATGAAATTAGGAATCTAGAAATGTATTTGTATCAAAACAGCTAATATAGAAATTTAATACTCATGTTCACATAATCTAGAAGTATTATTTTTATATATTAAAATAGACTGCTTATTAATCCAGCAGAACACCCACTTAGGCGATCAAGAGTTACAAGGGTACTCGACAATTCCGTTTAACGCCATTTAGGACACTGAATTCTTTTTCAATAGTTTAGACCATTTAGTATGTGAAGTAAAAATAAATGCGGGCTTATTTTATATTATACCATATATGAGTTAGGTTGCATAAAGTCCCGAAAAACACATTGATGTTCGTTAGTTATTGTGCATTATATACTACATATGCCCACATTAGAGCTCGCCTTTGGTTTTAAATATTCAGTGCATGGACTATGATGATATCTTCTTTTACCAGATTGACTTTTGATTTGGTTCACATAAACACACACATACATATTTACATATACATACAACTTTCGTCCTGTTAAAATTGCAATGTTTGACCTTGCACAAAGTTTAAGGATATTGATTGACTTTTTCAAGTATGTACAGTGCCTTCATTTAATGTAAAATAATAGAAATCTTGCAGACCCAAATAAATATTTACCTGTAAGAATGATAATGGACAACTATATATCTTCAACATGAAGCTTTAGCAAAGGGAAAATATTGCAATGTTAATTTGACATCCCAAAAAGTAAGTCTTGCAATTATCTTGGGATGGAGGAAGTGTATATGTACAGAAAAATATGAACACGTACACAGAAAAATACATATGCACATTTATATACTTGTGTATATATGCATACATAAATCCCCCCCCCCCTCCATCCTTATTCTTTTCCGGAACTGTCTAAATCCCATATAAATATCCTTGCCACATAGATGAAATGCATAACCATGAAAAACGCTATAATATACCAAATATTTAAGGCTTCCAAAATAACACAAAAACATCAACAGTCCGGACATGTATGCATGGTAACATGCTGTCCATTACTTAAGGGTGTCCAAACTCCTAAATTCTAAAGTTCATCAACAAATTCTAGTTTTAGGTTATCACTTCATGTTAAAACCTAACTATTATTAGAATGAGAACACAGCCATGTATTTCAATCCCATTGGTCAGAAAGGAAGGAAAAGAAGAAAGGGTGAAAATGAGCAAGTAAAGGAGAGGAATTACTTAAAAAGTCAATAATGAAAATGGGAGTAGAATAATTCAGCCACACTTGCTTCTCTTATTCAAGAACGCATTGGGCTCGTTGAATACAAAAAAGTAATGTTTTATTATGCTTTAAGCAAGCTGTATAATGATTTAAACGCTTCATTACAAGTTTGAATTCAAAGTTCAAAAGCTCTGTAGCAAAGCAATTGAGGCTGAAGCTTCGTATCTAACCAAATGAAACTATTTTCTCATGGAGAAATACCTTCACCCCTAGAGTGTGAGAGAGAGATTCTCATTTATTTATGTAAGACATGGTATACAACTAATGAAATATTCCCTTCAATTAAATATGAAAGACCAGAAAGATAGTATTTTTGATGAAGAATATCATTCAGAGCATACAGGCATAAATTGGCTCAAAAACAGACAAAAAAAGTGTATTACTTTCAAGATTGGTAAAATCAAATTGATTACATTTAAGACAACCAATCACACCATTTCATCATACAAAATTAATTACCCTATAAATGGAGGAGGTTAAGAATTTCATATCCCTAAAGAAAAGGCAAATTTATGGCCCTTTTAACCATATAAAGATTGTTATTGATAGTTTCAAACTAAACATGCCAAAGATCTGTACACAAGGAACTTTGCTACTTCTAGTTGTTGATGTATTGGGCTCCATTTGAGATGGATAAAGTTCCAGCTCATCAAACAATATCAATTCACTACGTTACATTAATTCATAAACAAGCCACTTTTCATTATTATTCAAGATCCCAATTCCATAAGATTCTCCCAGAGCATCAAACACAACTGGTTTGTGGCGTGAACCATACATGCAACCACATATACATCCTTCCCTTAGCAACCACTCAAGGCTTATCCCCTGGGATTAACACTTGATTAACGAATTAAAATGGATCACGGGGGCTTTATTGTTTTAGCAACACCTTAGTTGAGTAGCTTAAATAGACTAACATAAAAAAAAAACCTCATTTAAGCAGACTACGGACACATCAATGAACATAGCGGCCAAATGTTTCCTCCTGTTAGAGGAGAATATGATATGAGAGGGAGGGAACAAGGCTCCCTTCAGTACCTCCTTATAATTGATGAGCTCAAAAGTTCCCACATAGGTGGCAGCTTCATCATGATTTTCTTCCCTACATAGGTTTTTCTGTTTAAAAAGTACAGTCTGCATCTCTATGGAAGCTTCACCAATGAACTTAGAAGAGACTTCTATCTGATGAACATGGTCAAGTAGAACAGTGCACACTATCCAGAAAGGGGAAGAAATCGATGCTGAAAATCTCATAGTTTCTCCAATAAGAATATTGATGTTGATAATATCGACATTGACGATAGAAGATGTCACTCTTTTCCTTTTAACGGTTGATCTCAATTATCTTGAGCATCTTAAAGATGTGTCAATTGCAAAACCATAACCAGACCGATAAAACCATGCAACAAAGATGCCCAGAATTCGGATGAAAAATTAGCAACAAAGAGATCATGTTGTCAGTCAACAAGTTCTTCACATTATAGTCTATCCATATTATACAGAATATGATGGTTCGGAATAGATTTTCGACAAAAAACAATCAGCTGTTATTTATGCTTTGCAAATAATACCAAAAAATATCTTTGCCGATTGTTCTTTGACAGAAATAGCTTGTGTGTATTCAGATACGATTTCTGAAAGCTGGTTTTTCACCACACAAGCACTATAGATCAATCTGATCAACAAAATAAACAACAAAGAGAGAAATGTTGCACGTATCAACTAAAAGTGATGGGCATCATAAATCATAGTTGTTTGTTGCTGTGCTGATTTATCTTCAGTTTGAAAAACAAACAAAACATGCTTTTGAAGATTTTAAGCAATTTCCTTTAATCACGTAATCAAATTCGTGATGGCAATGGCTCCCCTCACCACGGGCTATGTAAATCAGTTTGTCTGCATATTTCTTGTCATGTTTATCGTCCCATGCACACAAAGTTTTCAACAAGAGACTAGATTTTTAGACCATGAATACTCCAACAAACTATCTAGAACTTTTATTCTAAATAAGGATGTTACCTCCAGAGGGTCAGGGGGTACAGGAACTTCACTGCGAGTTACATGCACATCATTGGAGGCTATTTCTCGAGGCCTATTTTGGGACTGGTTACGCTTCTTGTTCTCATTAGTTCCAAAGTCATCAACAAGGCTTTCACGAAAGAGTTGGGAAGTTGTTTCTCTAGCAAACCTCGTCACAAGAGAGAATTTTTCCAAAACCTGAATTGAAATATCTCGAGCAGTATCAGAACCTTTTTTCCTAGCACCCCCATCGAGTCTTTCCAGATTACCATCTGAGGGGGAGTCTGTAAATGAAGAGGAAGAAGCTGATTTTGCGATAGAAATAGTTCTTGGAAGCTCCAATGAAGATAAAGTTCTCTGTTGAGACGTAAACAACAACAAAAAATGAGATACAGTGGTCAGGGTGCAATCTATGTGCGAATATGAGGATTGAATTCTATTGAATGATAATGAAATCCAGAACAAAAACAACCCCTTGAAACTTCTATCTTGGATGTGAATTATTCAATGGAAGCGCAATGCATAAGAAATCTAAGACTGCCATATTAGCTTGAAATGGGTTGACAATGCATTTCATACGAACCAAAACTAGCAAAAACTGGCTTGAAACTGAATTGCACCTGAAGAGGATCTTGTAAGTTGTTTACAAGAAACACATTTGCATCTTCGGAGGACCTGTGGTGATAGCTGATCTATTAGACCCCTGAAACAATCTGACATTCTGACTTGATATTAATAATAAAAGGCCAAACATGTAAACCAAACATGCTGATTACTGAAATAGGAAATAGAAAAGGGCACCTATCTGGAGAAATAAAACATCCCTAGAAAAGCCCTAACTGGGCAGAACAAGTCATTTTTCATGTTCACGTCACGCTCATTGCAGAAAATATAGAGAATTCTGAAGTACAAATACTATAAACTCCAACTCACGAGCAATGTGTAGATATGCTCTAACCAAGGACCTAACTTTGATAGATTGTGTTGCAAGTTGGGCATGTACAACATGTACAACCCAACTTGAGGGGGAGCGTTGATTATTCCCACAAAGTTGGGAATCAATTTCCCAATTTATGGATATACGGAAACTAGGAACCATAATTAATTTTGTATATGTTAAGTTTACTATTTTATATGAATGACTTTCCTATATTAATTGTATAAAAGTGTGTACATATATCATGTATATTTTCTAAATTAATCAATGAGAACGAGTTTAATATATCCAAAGTCTTCAAAATTCAATTCCGGGTTAGGGTTTTACAACATATACAACTCAGCTTGAGTGAAACTGTAGAAAAGATTACATTTAGTTTTTTAATATTCTTTTATTTTGTTTGCTATATTGTTAGTATGTTCCCTTAATATCAGGGAATTAGCTGTAGATTTAGAATATAAATATAGGGCTTGTATATACAGTTCATTCAATCAAAATGAGAAAGTTATCTTCCTCAAAAATTATGTAGCCCATTATTTGTTATAACTGTTTAAGTTTAAGTTAAGTTGCACTAGAAGTTCATGCTTCAACAGATTCATTTGTCACCTTGAAGGAAGACTGCCTCATGTTGTTTATTCTAGGTTGTTGGAACAAATTATATTCAACTGTAATCGTTATTTTGACTCGTTCAACTAAAGATCAATCATTAATAATATTCATGAGGACTGAGCACTGATAGAAGGGTGCAGGGACAAAGCAATATCTTGAAGCAAAGACAAACCATTGTCAACAAATTTGAGAACAATATCTAACTAATAGCTCTATATTTAATTCACTCAAGTACATTGTCATTAAGCAAAGAAATGTTGCCAAGTGATTTGCTGATTGGTTCTATGTCATACACCTCTTCAGTTTTTCTAACAAGCACTTCGTTTATTTCATCAATATGAAAATCATCCCAACCTTAAAAGATGAGATGGTGCTGCCCCGTTCTATCCAATTAAACTATAGTAAATAGCTTCATAAACCTATAAATGCTTTCCTGGTAAACTAATGAAAATATCTTATTTATATGCTTAAAACTGTGGTAATGGAACATGAATTCCTGTAAAACATGCACACTCCGAGGAAAAAGAACTAGATATAATTCTACAGGAAATCATCATACTATACCACATTGGTTTTGGAAAGAACCTGCATAAATACAAGAACCAACCTGACGATAAAAATATGTTGCTTAACTGTGGCAATAAACTCTCGTACTCCTCCATTGTAGAAGTAAAGGGGAGGAAACGCGAGGCCTGCACAAAGTTCCAATCATGGTAACAAAGTAGATGAGTAGCGAAAAGTGTGTTGAAATCGACCATTTTATACACCAACCTCACTTAAGATAGGTGGATAAGAATGAAAATAAAGACGAAAGCCACCTCACTTTGAAGTACCATAAAATCTAGCTACTATTTTAACTTTTGAAACAAAGGTTGACCAAACTCTAAGGAGCTTATATAATTCAGGGTGATGGTTTAAAAAAAATAAGAGGATCACAGAGTTTTCGAAGAGCTAAGAAAACCTAGAAAAATGAAAATAAATCATTATATATGAACCAAAATGACAACCAAGAATTGGCTACTTTAACTATCTTCTAAATTGGTCTATTTAGGTTCTTCATGTTACATGGAAGCTTTCATAATGGGACAAGCAACTTCATCAATTACTATCTACAAAACTACAGCTACTTGTATCAAACAATGATAAGCAAGTCGACGGATCAATATGTGTGTGCCATTTCACCACCTGATACTAATTTATACCATAGTTTTCAATCTAAAATTTGGATGATTTGTTCAACCATCTTAGTAAGTCAGACATGATGAGTTCCACATGCTAATGTACGCTAAAAGAAGCTCCTTGAAGCACAGCCATATGACCAGGACAATCCACACTGTGCATGGCATGATACCAAGTGAAATTGGGCCATGGAGCTCAAATTCAACTAGCTATTGGAAATCAGACATCGCTAAATTCGCTTAGAAAATTATAGATACCAAGTTAGGACTTAAGAATGGGAATATTACTATCATAAATACATTTTTCTGGTAAAGCATATATTTACAGGTAACTGAGATGAACAGATGTTAAATTCAATGGAGATCCCATTATGGTTCAAAAGAATGCATGGCCATACCAGATGATAGAACCACAATAACATACTGCCAGCCTATAGTTGGAGTGTGTCGACGAATTGATCGGATATCGGCAAAAGACACTGCTCTTATGGTATACAAATTCTTATCTGCAGAAAGCAACAATTACACCCACAGCTTCAATGCAAATCACTTACTTGTGCATTAAGACAGATACACTGCGATTTAAATTGTATATCACTGTAAAGACCATTGCTTAGCATCCTGAAGGTACTGGTCCTGCCAGAAGTTGACTGAGAAGGGACCAGTCCTTGTGGTAATACTAGCAAAAGCATATGATGTCATGTTGAACCATGCTTTATGGTTGTGCACCTGAGTAATGACGTGCATCAAAATGAAGGTATCCAAATAAACAGTCACAAGATCATTATTTCATACCTGATGCCGCAACTTATACATGAATTGGAAACCAAATTGCCATACCTCATTAAGAGAACAAATAAATAAAGAAAAATCTAATGATGCCTGTGAATGCATTTTCTAAGTGTCAACTTTTTCTAGACTGACAGAGCCATTGTGTGCATATGTACAGTAAAAAAAATGAGACTAACCTCTCTCAGACAGTCTAGCATTTGAGCTTTGTCCTTTATAAGGTATCCATGACTGTTAAGAAAAAGTAAAAATAAACTGAATCTTACTATCATAACAAAATACCTACCAAATAGATATCACAAACAAATAAACATTACTTTTACAATGATAGAACATTACCATAAAGAGTAAAGAATCTTGCTTAATCAACTTCAAACGCCCACTAATCCTTTCCGTGGCATATTGAGTTGGATGAATTGTCACATTATCCTTCAAGTATACTATTTCTGCATTTTCTGGCTCGCTAGAATAGCTTCGGTTACTAATATCATGCCCAGCCATGCTTGAGGGGCCCTGAGACACAAATCAGAGTTTAGTTACACAAGAAACGGCTTCTGAGTTAAGCCATACAAAAAAAGAAGCATAAACAGGTTACTTGACAAATTGCTATCAGTTGTTATATCATAATTTGTTCATGTACCCAAAATGTTGTATAGGAGAGAGATAAAAGTTGTCTATGTAACTCATACCTCAAGAGTTATGCTTGTGTAATCCTAAAAATACGAAAACAAATACATGTTGTGTAACACCCATGATTTTAAATAGTCTTTGACAATTTTTGTTGTTTGTCCTAACAATGAGCGACATTCTAACAAAGGATAACATAAGGGGAATTACGTGGAAGATCACATGTACATAAAACCTAACACGTTCCTTACCCTTGAAAGAGATAAATAGGATTTAAGGAGAAAAGATGACCTCAAGGAAAAACCTGAGATCGTGAAGATCATATATACCGTTTTTAGTTTCTTGTAGTAGCTTTCAAGCTACTTTTTCCAATTATTCTATATTGAGTCATAGACTTTGGAATTGGCTATATATTGTCCAGATTCTTTAAATTTATTTTCAATTTGTAATCATAATTAAGGATTGTTCTTCCATAAACAAGCTTCAGTCATTCAAAATGATCTTGTTTGTTCTTTGGGTGCATATTTGTCCAATTAAGGTTCATATTTGTATAAATTTCTGAGCTTATCTTAGATTCAATTTATTTTAACTACCATTGCTGTATTTATTAACTATTTGTTCAACCAATTGCAATGATACAAAACCCTACATTGTCAAATCTATTATTCAAATTCTATAAATTTTGTAGTTCTGTAAAAATCATATTAAACAACTTGTTCATCAAAATTTCTCGTGTTATACCTCTTGAAATTTCTTGCAACATCTTCTATAGATCATCATGACTAGAGAACTTTACCTAAATTCGGACTCTTACCGGGTTAAAATATGGTTTCCTATAATTGCTCTGCTTTTTGACAAAAACCACTCCGAGATCGATGGTTGAGTGTTGTATGTACCATATACACTATCCAGTTTATGAACTTGGAGTAATGAATCCAGTGAGTGATGTGCCATGAAATGGATTTGGTGCCATGTCTTAGGTGAGCATATTTGTTTACATAGGATAGTCCATATGAAATCATATCCTAGTCTCTCGCACCATATGTGATGAGAATATATTTGTTTACGTAGGATAGTCGGGTATGAAATCACTTGATTCCTACGAACGTGTCAAAACCACAACAGTCTTCCCTCCCTCACTTGGTCAGTGATATGCCTACGCCCAACTCTGCTTGGAATACCTCATTCGATATCCTATCCAACATGGTTCAGTCACAAGTCATCTTGAGCAACCTCATTTCTACAACTTCCAACTTCCTTTCATGTGCCTTCTTTATCTTCCAACACTCCGCCCATACAACATGGGTGGTCTCTTGCTACCCTTTTGAATTTGCTCTTCAGTTTTAGCAGGACCTTCTTGTCGCATAACACTCATGTGATAGCCCTCCAGTTTAACCACCTTGATTTTATTTGGTAGGTACCGTCACCTTCAACCTCACCCTCCTTTGAATCATAGAGTCTAGGTACTTGAAACTGTTGCTTTGGGGTACCCTTCGGTCCTCACTGCTTACTTCTACAGTTCTACCCCCTACTGAAATTGCACCACTTGGTCTTAGAACGACTAATGTGTAAGACTTGTGTTTCCAATCCCAACCTCCACTGTTCCAGTTTAGCATTCACCTCCCCTTCCTCTCTGCTACCAATATAATGTCATCAGTGAATAGCATACATGGGACACTCCCTTGGATCCCACATGAAATCTCATTCAGACAATAGTTCCTCGGTCTGAAGGAGAAACTTGGGACAGATAACTTCCAAATTAACTAGAAACATGGTGAAAAGTTATCCATAACCACTACCTAGGATTTATAAGGGGTTCAGAATCCACATCCACAACCACAACTAGAGTAAGGCAGGACATTACATATGAAAAAAAAAACTTGTGGAACCAGACTAAACAAACATTACCAGAATCTCAAGCTTCGAGTATACCTCCCCCCTAACTAAAGTTCTAACTAGCCAAACATGTATCCTGTGTGGATTTGGCTTCGATAAATACCAATCAACTAGGATTCTTTAGATTATGCTTATATATAGAAATGCAATGGGATAGATGGTAGAGGGCTGCCTGCGCCCAAAAGCAATGATTAGGGTAAGGGATGTAAGAGGCACCTTGCTGAAGCTAAGGAAACCACTATATTAAATTTCAAGTGAGCATGTCAATTTTAGTTTGAAGATTTGTGGCTGCATAGATTTAACTTAGATTTCTTGATCAAGTCTCGTTAATTAGAAAAGGTTTCACATAAGTAACTTGAGTTGTAAAATTATCCCAATATGAGGATTAACTCGCCTTACTCACGCAAGGTTCCTCTTACCTCCCATTCTGCTATCTTCATATATTTATCTATTAATAAATTCCAAATCAAAGGCAATTTCAAGAAAAAAGAAGCTACATTGATTGCAAAAATACTGCTCTAAGCATCCAATAGTCGAATTAGCCATAGATAAATGTATATGAATTTTAAAAACTTTTTTCTTACAAAATATCTACTATGACAATGAGTCACGCCTTCCCCTCATCGATAACTCCATTTGATTCAAATCTAGAACTAAGATCAGTTGCACAATTCTTCATTAGGTTACTTGAGAATTCAAGCCCACATACAATTACTAATGCCAAGCCCTTAAAACTCTATAATATATGAATTTCGCGTCAACGGATTCATATTGATCAAATTGTTTAACAAGACCAAAAAGCATTTTATCCCAAACAAGTTGGATTAGGTGATTGATACAATTGTATGATTAACTAAACTGGATGCTAAAATTACAGTTCAGAAGAAGTCTAAAGGATCCAAATATATCTTGTATCAATAGCTTTCAATTAGTTCAATTATGTTTATATAGCTAAATTGATAGCACAAACTTTGTAGAAACTCCGGATAACGAAACAATTGAAAAACCAGTAAACCACCACATGCAGGTTGCAGGCATTATCAAAGTTATTCGTTTACTTACTAAACTGCTAAGTCTTCAAGATCGTGTAGTCCTAAATTAAAAGAAATCAAGAATTTTAAGCTTGAAAAAACTCAAAGATAAGCATCAGCAGCTTCAACAATTACCCAGTTCTAACCAAGAAAATAAAAATGAATGCAAGCCGTTCAGAAGTTGCATAAATAGAATACCGCGCAATAGCATCAGGTCAACCGTAAACCAAGAAAACCCAACTGCACCTTCCTAGGGGATAATTGCTTAAACAAACGCATGCAACAATAAACAAACCTGATTTCTCACTTACGAACTACTATTATAGATAACCATGTTCATGGGAGCCCTAATTACACAAGGCCTAAAACTCCAGTGCAAACAAATTGCAATTTATCGCTGCCAAATTTATCCAATTGCAAACTAAACCTACAAGCCTGATTAAATCAAATTACCATGAGAAGTGCACCAATAGATACGATACTTTTTCGGTACGTTGTGTGTTGCTTACTTGTTGGGACGCGGCAGCGTAATCGGCGTCGTCGGACAAATCATAAATCTCCGTTTCAAACATCGTCGCCGGCGGTATAGGCGAAAATGGTGATTATCAGATGAATTTCTTCGGATTTGGAAATTGGGACACAAAAACAACGGAGAATCGCGACCTGCCAACAACGTGAATGTTAGGATTGAGATATTCCGGTAACTTGCAAATAACGGCAATTATTCCCTATATTTACAAATATGGTCCTTATACTTTTGGTAAAAGTTCAATTTTAACCCCTAAACTTCATAACAAAATTCTAATAGATCCATCAAGTTTTTTTTTCCCAAAGGTTCATGAAGTTTTTAATTTATAGCATGTTTGTCTATTCTATTTCTAGGTATATTTGAGAAGACCACAAGCTAATAACAATATATAGTGGTTGCTAAATTTTTATTAATGATAATTTTAAATTCCTATCAATTTTAAATGTTCGGTTTGTTTACAGTAATAAAAAATATGAATGTGAACCATAAAGGTGGTGTCTGATTGGTTTGAGCTTGGCTCCAAAGGTCAAAAGTATCAGGATGTCTCAGGTTCAAATCCAAGGAAGAATAAAAATCTCTTTGTGGCCACGGAGGTTCAAATGCGGTGGCTTTGGGCTATCTGCAAAGCAGGTGGTCACCCTGGGATTAGTCGGCTTGCATAGCGGGTTGGATATTCAGGTTAATAAAAAAAATGAATGTCGGTATTAGGATCTCAATTTATGCGTTCTATAGTTTATTATTTGTGTTTTAGTTCATGTATTATAAAGTTTATTGAGTCGATAAACTTTCCAGTCTTGATGCTAGATAAAATTGTGGATCATTGGTCGTAGGCAGTTAGCCCGCATGTAACTTAGATTGTACTTGGCCCATGAGCTCGCCATGCCACTTAAACGTTGGTGAATATTTCATTGCTCGACTTGTTTTGATCCATAGACAAACACAGTGTATTTCATATGTTCGGAAGTAGGATCTGTACAGTAGAATTTATAAACTGGACAAAAAAACCCCGACACCCAATGTGTTCTCCTCCAACCTCTCTCTTTCAATAAGGTGATAGACCTTAACAAGGGAGACTTGGGATCATGTGAGACCAATGGTTTTTCGTGAGACTCGTAAGACCAATTCTCAACCCTTGGATTAGATCTACAATCTGACAATCTAAACATTCATAAACGCCACAAGACTTCTCAATAATCACAAAATTGCCACCGTACAATTTTAGACCATTAGATCATTAGCTTATAAAGCTTATCAACATAAATTGGTCTTACGGGTCTCACGAAAAACCTTTGTTCTCCCGTGAATTGTTGTGTTTGTATCTTTTCTCCCTCATCCTTTACTTTATACAAGCTTTTATAGCGTTTTACACATTAATTTTTTGAACTCACTACAACAAAATCGGGTTTATAGGACACTCTCAATTTCTAAGCGTCCTAATAGACCTCTTTATAAAACTTAGTTTATAGGACCAAAAAAATAAAGCGTCCTATCTAAAGGTGGTGTAATAACTTTGTATGACGTTTTTTGACGTCATAATAAGTTTTGTAGGACACTTTTAATATAAAAGCATCCCATTAACAACTTTATAGGATACTATTTGAAAAGTTGTCCTATAAAAACAAATGTCATATAAAGTTGCTTATGCGACACTTTGTATTAAAAATGTCCTAAAAACTTGTTAAGACACCCAAAAACGTCATACAAACTTATTACAACACCTTTAGATAGGAGACTTTATATTTTGGTCCTATAAATTAAGTCCTATAAAGCGGTCTATTGGGACGCTTAAAGATTGGGGATGCCCTATAAACCCAATTTTGTTTTAGTGACTAGTGCCTGAACAATTGTTCACCCTCTTTAGATTTTCAAACAGATGTCAACACAAATTAAATTAAAAGCACGTATATGAAATATTTTTGTGATTGCAAAGAACATTGGCTTAAGAGAACGAGAACGGGTCAAGTAATGAGAGAAAAAAACAGTGTCATCGGTATGTTGCAAGGTTAATATCTTTACAAGTCATTGTCGATGATAATTTTATTAGAGTATTATATACTTAAAAATGAAAATACGGGTGTCAAAAGAGATAACTGTTGATACATTGGTTGCCACCATGCATGTATTTGTTACACCGTGTTGTTTTGATGGCTTAATATTGACGAATAACGAGCTTATAATTCAAGACTTGCGAGTCTTAAATTATCTGAAGTTCACAACTTGTGCTTATTAATGGAAAGCTCGGAGAATAAGAAGCGTGCCAAATAAACAACATATGAAGAAGCTTTTGAATGTTTTTCATGGTACATACTTCCGAATGTTTTTGTGCGAACATTTGTAAATCTGTATATCATATTTTATCATTTCAGCTATCAGGAAAAATGACTAAATTTCAAAAATGGGCATATACACTGTTCATATGGACTTCCATTCATGTCTCCAAATAGAGCTGTAAACGAACCGAACGTTCAGCGAACCGTTCGGTGGGAAGTTCGTTTATACTCGTTTATTTAATAAATGAACGGACATGAACAATTTTTTTGTTCGTTTAGTTAAATCAACGAACATGAACGAGAGTCTTGTTCGTTCATTTATATTCGTGAACATTCGTGCATTTACCGTTCGTTTATATTCGTTCGTTTATATTCGTTCGTTTATATATTAAATTTAATATATAATCTTTTGTTTATTTACTTTGAATTCAAATAATATTTATTTATGTTCGTTTAGCCCGTTCATTTATGTTCGTTCGTTTACTTTCATTTAGCATGTTAAAGAACGAACATAAACGAACACGAACACGAACACAAAAAATTTCGTTCGTTTACCGTTCGTGTTTGTTCCTTTGTTCGGTTAAGTTAAACAAACGAACATGAACAAATATCTGTTCGTGTTCGTTCGGTTCGTTTACAACCCTACCTACAAACAGTATATTTTCAACATATATAGTCACATTCCCTTTAGGTTGCCTAAGAGCATCTCCAACACACTTAAACATACGAATGTGGAACATAAATAAATATAAAAAAAAATTAAAGAACAAACATGGTGATTTAAAGTGGTTCGTCAACTTGACTACTATTACTACGGGGTGTTTGGCTGTTGCTGAATGGTTTGGTGTAGAATGATTAAGAGACTCTTATAATATAGTGCAAAATGAAATATAATTGTTTGGTAATTATTCAGAATGAAATTAGAGTGTTGAATGGTTAAGGGATACATAAGATACAAAACGATTCAGAGGGTTTTAGAACCATTAAGAGACATATTGTTTTTTTGTCAAACAAGAATCACCTCTTAACGATTCAAAAACTGCCTCTTAATGGAAACATTAAGAGGTAAACAAACAACCCCCACCTCGAGATGCATTGATTCAATAATATGTTTTTTTATGCATAGTAGAACAAAACATTTATACAGATTATAAGCATGCAGTACTTTTCAGGTAATCAAGAGCTAGAATGGATCAAATCTTACCTACATTTATATATAAATCAAATACAAATATGTATCGAATTTTTCTGTTTGACGATGCAGTCATTGCCTTTACCGTTAATAGTTTTACGACAATAGACCGTCACGATGACTTGTATTCAATTTAACATTAAACTAGTGTGGGTCCCGCACGTTACATGGTAGTGATAAAATTTTTAAGGAGTACTTGACCGAGTTAAGATGGAAAGTAATTCATTAGTTAACAGTTAATCAGATACAATCTAAAACAATGAATGTATTTCCATAAATGGTTAATTTGCATATATTGATAATCATTTGTTGTCATGAAGAGTTTGGTATGCATTTGATGATAATTTCTTTTGTTATGTTATTTACAGCCCAAACGACATATCCCCCCAACCATATCACTATTGTTATTAAGAATTTTAATATTATTATTTTTTTCCGAAAATTGTTCTGCTAAAATTACCCAACACTGTGAGTTGCCACAAATAGGCATCATCTCTCCTTGTCAATATATACTCGTATCTTTCATAAACATTGTAGGATAACCAAGCTCAGAAGATTTGTAAAGGTTTTCCTTCCTCGTTTTTTATAGTCATATTCATTCTTCAATCTGATGACTAAAGCACCACCACAATGCAATATTTAAGAATCATCAGATCTCCAAATGTCACCTCAAATACTATTGGTTATTTCTTTTATGCATATAAAGAAAGAAAGAAAGATAATAGTATAATGATTTTTCTGTTTATATATATATATATATATATATATATATACACACACACACACTAGTGGTGTAGCCGTGCGATGCAGCGTGGGTGAATTACAATTCTGAAACATTAGTTTAGTCTTGAATCATGAGTTTGTTTGGTTATTTTACAAGTCAACTAATATATAAAGTTGAAGGTTAATATGGTGTATTAGCAAGATCGATTGAAAAAATAATTGCACACATGTTAAGTTTCTAAACTCATTTGAAGGGTTGGGGGTGGGGTACATGCATGATATGAAACCCTTTTTGATATTGTTGCTTCAAATTCCAGTTTACTTCAAGAGAAAGAAGAACTTTGAATTTGGATTCAAAATAGGAAACAAATAAAGTGTCAAACAACTTTGAGAAGAACAAACATATCTTTTTCATGTAAATATGGCTTACTTAACTCTGAAACTTTGACAAAACAAATGGTATGTTTTAAGCATTTGTACATTATGCATAATAATTTGTACTTAAGAGATTTTTTAATCTCTTGCATAAATTGGTAGTACTTTATGTTTTAAGACTTGTAATTAAGACTTTTGTCTAAATGTTTATTAATGTAGTACACACACACACACACACACATATATATATATATATACACGTCATCTTTTGTAAATTTCGCTATTAAGGGTTGATCAAAAGACCTTTTTAGGCAAGTAAACATTTTAATTTTCAAATTCATCCATCCTTCTTTCTTCATCTTTGTTTTCAAATCTAACATTCTCTAATCAAAGAGGGGTGACTTAAACAACACCACAGTCTAATATTTGAGGATATTCAAATCTCATGATGTCACCTCAAATATGCTTGCATGTTCCTTATATATATATATATATATAAAATACTTGTAAACGT